CCATCTGACTCCAGCAATGAGAGCTCTTGTTCTATGTTCTCTTCTTCCGCTATTCATGGGCTTTACAGCATCTGACAATGTTTTGCTGCCATCAAAGAGGCTGTCAGTAGTTTATTCCTCTGAAGCAGACAGCCCATTCCTTCTTTCTACGCTGTTCTTACTCAGGAAGCTCTGCTGAGACCTATTCATTTTGGGTGACACTGCCAGCATTTGAAATACAAGTGACATAGCTTCCAGCATGAGGCTTATTTGTGTTTTATTGATTATGAAAAGGCATTTGACTCTGCAGACAATACCAAACTATGAAGACCCTTGAGAAGAAAGGGAATTCAGAAACACATCATTGTGCGCATGCAAAACCAGTACATGGCTCAAGAGAAATTTGTGCAAACCGAATAAGAGAATACTAGATGGTTTAAAATCAAGAAAGGTGTGAGTAAGAGTTGTGTCTTCTCACCATAACTATTCAATCATTATGCTGAGCAAATACTCAGAGAAGCTGGGGATATGAAGAAGAATGCAGCATCAGGATCAAAGAAAAGCTCATTAACAACCTGTAATATGTAGATGATATTACACTTGCTGAAAGTGAGGAGGACTTGAAGCACTGATTAAGCACTGCTGATGAAGATTACTGCAGCCTTCAGTATGGATTACAACTTCATGTAAAGAAGACTAAAATCCTTACAACTGGACCAATAGGTAACATCATATGATCAATGATAAAAGACTGAAGTTGTTGAAGATTTCATCTTGGTTGGATCCCCAAACAATGCTTGTGGTAGCAGCACCCAAGATATCAAATTAAATGAATTGGCTGAATCTGCTGCACAAGAACTCTTCAAAATATTGAAAAGCAAAGATGTTCTCTTGAGGTTTAAAGTTAGCTTGACTCAAGCCATGGCGTTTGCGATTGCCTCATATGCATGCATGTAGAAGTTCTCCCTTGAATAAGGAAGACCAAAGAAGAATGTATGCATTTGGTTTATAATGCTGGCAAAGAATATTGAACATACCATGGACTGCCAAAAGAAGAACTAAATCTGTTTTGGTAAAAGTACAGTGAGAATGCTCCTTGGAAGCAAGGATGTAAGACTGTCTCACAGTCTCTGGACAGGTTACCAGAAACGACTTGTCTCTAGAAAAGGACATCATGCTTGTTATAGTAGAAGGGTAGGGAAAAAGAGGAAGACCTTCCTTACAAGGTGGATTGACGCAGTGGCTGCAATATTGGGCTCAACAATAAGAACAATTGTGAGCATGGACTGGGCAGTGTTTCTGTTGTACATAGGCTTTCGATGAGTCAGAACTGACTAGAATGTACCTAGCAACAACAATTAAAAGCAACGGTATGCTCAGTTTGAGGCTTTTCTCCAAGATTTGCTGAAGGTGAAGCAGAGTCTTTAACTACCATGATTCTCCCACCATGCATGCCATTGCTTCGTCGTCTCACCGACTGGCCATTTTCCGAAGACACTTGACCACTTAACCATGAAGATCCTTGACCATGAGGTGAACATTATACCGATGATTGCCAAAGTAGATGGAAATTTCTAGAAATGAATTACAGAAGGTTAAGCTCAAGCTCATGAGTGAACTGGTTAGCCATGTGTCCAGATATGCCAGTTCCCGACAGATGATGAAACTATTGCAAATAGCAATTCTTCAATAAATGGACATTTGCCATTTGCCGTTGTGGGAG